GGCGATTATGGAAGTGGCCAGAGAAGCCTGATGTGCTGGACTATGAGTGGAAGGCTGTAGTTTCTCATATCAATGAGCCCACGAAATCGAGCAGAACGCGCAACGTCTACTCTGTTCCCGAATTGAACTTGTTTTATTTCTACTTTCCATTCTAATTATAACTTGTTCTGGTAATTGTTAAAAATATACGATACTAAAATGATTGCCAACATTATTGCTTCAACCCTCCTTCTAGTATAAGTGGTCAACTACTAACGAAAAGAGGGTCAATTACTAGTTCTTTCATCTTTAAGAGTGGTCAACTTCTGAAGCAATAACTGAATTTTTAAATATGTTTTTAAAATTTTTATAACGTAACTTTTTTAAAAAATTGGTCTTGTTACATCATCTAGAAGGCTTAAAGAGTACCTTCAGGCATCGACTCTCGCTATTTAATCACAGAGCAAGTGGTTACTATTGTTCGCGTGGAGGATTTCTCTTAACTGGTCAAATACTGGTACCTTTACCTTAGTTTTCCACCGACCGTCCAAACATTTTCTTAACGCCATTAATCTCCATTCTTCTTGACATACGTTACAAACCACTAATTCACCAATAGCAGAAAATACAGTGACGGTTCGCGTGGAGGATTTCTCTTAACTGGTCAAATACTGGTACCTTTACCTTAGTTTTCCACCGACCGTCCAAACATTTCCTTAACGCCATTAATCTCCATTCTTCTTGACATACGTTACAAACCACTAATTCACCAATAGCAGAAAATACAGTGACAAATTGTAAGATTCGAGCCTTAGCTCGAAGGCATGCTTTGAAGGCATGTACCTCTGCCAATTTTGAGAATTAAGCTTTAAAACGTCGTGGACATATTTTCGAGACATTAAACTATAAGAAAATGCGAAAGAAAAAAGAGATTTTTTCAACCGGTCACGTAGGAAGACCCCTTAAACGTGTACCCTAAACCGCTACGGTTGATATCGGCGACATAAACACGCGGTCGAATAATTATCGCGAGTATAAGGGAGGAGAGCGGTCGAATGAAAGTGGCGCGGGGCAAATGAAATTTCGAACGATTTACGTGCTCGTAAATAGCCCGCGCAGCGAGGACAGTAATTCCGTGGAATTCCAGCGCGAATTTAGTGTCGGCCTTGAGACGAGGCGGAGCATTTTTTGAGGAGAAGCATAGCTCGTGACGTCGCTTAATAATCGCCACTAAATAATGAGTAATATCTCACGCGGGGCTTCCAGCTGTAATCTTATCAAAGTTGCTCGTCCTTTATGGGCATTATAACGCGATGTATCGCGCCTCGGCCAGATGGTGTACCCGCGTGTACACAGGCACATTTGCTGTGAGGATTGGTCGAGAAGCTATTACCCAAAGAAATAACCAAGTTATTGTCCCGTTAGTCTCTCCCAAAAAGATATTTCGATCGTTGATTTCGTCAAATTTATGGAACACGCTTGATCGTCCATATTAAAGTTAATGAAGGATTTTTGCGGTTTCGTTGCAGGGAGGCGTTGAACGCTACGTGTGAAAGGCGGGGAATAGACCTGTCGCGGATTGAGGTCTCCGATGGATTGTCGCTGCCATTGCCGATCTACACGACAGAAACGTCGAGCCTCGGTGGCAAGCATTTGCGGATTACAGGTATATTTATTGATATTGTTATCGTTATTGTTACTGTTATATTTACGAGAAAAGTACGTCGGGATGTAGGGCAGTTCAAGTGCGAGAGCAGCTATATGGTGTACATAAAGCGGATATTATAAAAATTGAAGACCTTAAGCGGGCAATGAAGATCGAGAATTATTTGAGCCCTGTCCAATGTATTTTCATATCCGACATTTCGCCAATAGTACAGCAATCGTTGCAATAATTGCAAACACCATTGGATGCGAGTGAAATTTGGAAGCTTTGATTAACAATTCAAGTAATCCAAGCTGTGAAAGCCTGAAAAACCTAAAAATTCAAAATATTCGTAATTGTAATTTTAAATACATGTCTAGTTAAGTAGACAAATTTAAGCAAAGAAAGATGGAAGGTGAATCTTGTTGAATTAGGTAGTGATAAAGCAGAGAGTGTAAAAAGTAATAGGAAGGGAAGGAACCTTTTCTTATGAGTACATCCTTGGGAACATTGAATCGGTGAAAACAATTAAAGGGAACCAGAGTGGAAATTAATTTCTTTGTAATAAGTATTGGCTTATTTCAGAATTCCCAACCTGAAAGTAGACGGATATTGGATGAAAAAATTGTTAAATTTTTAATTTGCCTTAATATTAAAATAAAATAACAATGACGCGACTACAATCTATGACGGACCTCCTCGAGCAAAGGAGAAAAACAAAGGACTACATACCACTATAGGAAGCTAAGAACGCCAGCGCAAACACACATGTACTCATCCATTTTCAAAAAAACCTTAGTCTAAATTTGATTTTGTTTTTAATTTATTTGGATATACTGTACGATGCTAGCTAGTCTCGGGGAGCGCAATTGAACGATTAAAAGAAACGTCGAACGAACTGTGGCGAAAGTTGGTCGTTATCACGAAAGTTTGCTCGTTAAGCCTCAGAAACATTTGCATTCTCGGCTTGCATACAGCCTTCGGAAGTTGAGGGCAACATTTAGCTGAATGGCGCACGAACGGTGTCATAATTCATGCGAAACTGATAATAGATAGGAGATCGTGTAGCGGTGGTTGCTGGTGTAATCGACGTTCGACCGTGCACGCGACGAATCTTCGCCGCGGAATTGATGATAAGTTAAACGCTCCGAGTGCACCTAGCCACACTCGTATTGACGCTGACACGCGATCATAACTACGTCATCGCATTATAAACGTACGTTCCGCTAATTAACGTTGAGCCAGTAGTTAAATACACTGATATACAAAAAGGAATTTTACAATACTGCTTACTTTTTCATATATGTATTTTCGTGAAAGTAGATTTTCCGGATTAAACGACCCGTTAGATTATACACGAGACCCGTCGTATATTTAAACAGGTAAATTGTACGTTAATAATGTTCCTGTACTGCCTGTATTAATTATTTACAATGTAATTTAATTCCACTATCATACATTGATAGGAAGTAGGTTCTGTTTATTCAGTAACAATTATTATTGTTGCAACCATTTACTATTAATCACTTTAATATGCAGCACAGAACGTGTTAATTCTGTGTCACTGATTCTACGCTATGTGCTATCAAATGAAAGTAAATTCTGCATGCTGTAAAATAAAAAAAGGAAAAGAAACTATGTGAAGTGAAGGAAAATGTTACTGAAAGCACCGTATCTCTATAGGAAACGATATTTTTGATCGATACTCATTGAAGGGTCATAAGTGCACGGCATAATAGCGGTCTCGAATAGTAATCAGCCGCGTGGACGAGTGATAAATGTACATAGCCGATGATAAACGGATCACACTGGGTTGAGGGAAGCTTTTAATCGAACCGGCTGAGCTCAATCGGGTCGTACTACTTAGAGCCAGCGATAAAATCGCTTTGACTACTGTCCGTGTATAGTCGAAGTCGACGTGTTTTACTTTTTGCCTGATTATATCTGATGCATTCTACTTGGCGGAAAGTAGATTACCCGAAATTCATTTCGACGTTCATTACCAACATAATTCTTGCCTGTTAAAATAGGAATACATTAATTCACATAATCGGGTTAACCGGGAAACCAACAAATTTATCTATCAAATATTTATCCAACCAAACTTCCATATACGTATGTATGTGTACATATACACTACCGGCCAAAAGTTTGGAATCACCTCCCACTTTTCATCGATATTAAATCTGCTGCTAACTTTTTATATATTTGAAGTTTATCTCAATTCTTCATTTATCAATTTATCTCATATCGATTGATTCGAACGATAAAAAATTCTCAAAATCGCTGACATTTTTCTGAAAATTTTTGTGTAAATTGCAATGCTCGGTGATTCCAAACTTTTGGCCGGTAGTGTACATACCTTATTCCAGCAGTATGAAAAGATGTCGACTAAAAGAAAGGAAGAAAAAAAATAAAAATTCGACCGATTTATATTAATCTACAGTACGCAAAAGCCAGCGCTGTTTGCCGATAATTTAATCGACATTTTTGTTTCCAGTTGCGCGATTGAAAAAGCGAGGAAATGTCAGGAATCATTTATATCAATTTTTTTCACCGTTTTCACGCTTCGAATCCATTTCAAAAAACGTCCCCTCTCGATTTCTATTGCCTAGCATGAAACGCCGAGGAGAAGAATGACGGTTAAATTGAAAATGAGAAATATCTGTTAGAGTGAAGGTGTATACACGCGTATCACGCGACGCATCGTAGAAAAAAAAGTGTACGCGATCTACTGCACAAACTCTAGCCAAGCTATACAGTAAATTCTCTACAAGAGTCAATAAGTTTGGATTCTACAAGTGACAGTATAGATGGTCCTACGCCTAGGTATGCGTCATTGCTGCGCCCATGTTATCTCGCTCGCAGTCCTTGTCCTTTACGAGATTTCACGGCTCGACAAATCATAATAGAAACATATAATTTCTTTAATTTTACTTTTTTTCATCTGCAATTTTTTTTAACATGTTGGTGACATTTATCTGATGAAAATGATATCAAACACGATATAATTTGAACAACATTTACTTATTAACACGTTCACTGTCGCGCCAGATTTACAGGTTGCTGTCAGGCGGCCACAAGAAAATACATTTTAAGCATAGGATTATAGCATTATGCTTTATAATTTTTTTTTTCAATTGAAAATAATGTCTAGCTAGCTATGACGTTCAAAATTTTTAGTTGACAACATTTATTTTATTTTAATTATTCTAAACATTTGAGGCGCTCCAGTCACTGATGACCACCATGGCCATATCGAGGAAACAATCTAACGTTAAAACTTATTGAGTGATTAATTTAATTTCATAATATATCGCTTTGGATGAACTACAAAAACAAATTGCTAAGAAATTACATTAAATACCAGTACACATTATCCGTCGAATGTAGAAGGAGAGGCACCGTTTGGTTGCCAATTGTTTATCACATAGAGTCAGCCTACCTCCACGTGAGAAAACAAAAAAAAATGTAGGGTCGATACCACAACTGTCAGTAAAATGTATGATCGATAGCAGCAGAAAAGCAGCTAAACAATTAGAATTAAATGTAACGATAGAAATTATTGCAACAATGCGTAATGCAATTGAAAAATTGAAAGAATCAAAAGAAAAAACGCGAATTCGTATCTTTTTCGATTCTAGAATATAAGAAAATTTGAATAAAATACGCGACGAGAATTGGGGAGAAGCATAAGTTAAACGCGTAAAAATATTCAATAATAAACGAACTAGGGATGAAGCTATTATTTCAATACGCGATGCACTGACTCTAGTATTTACTAAAATTCAAAAATTCTCGTATAAATTCCGAAAATAGATTATTAATTACGGTAAACTACTGAGACGGTTTAATTAAGGGTGGGCATGGTGCTGCTTTAGTTTGAAATGATTTATAAACACATAATTAACAGAGGAAAAACCGTGAAACGGCAAAACGTCAACATTCTAATTGTTATAACATGTAAACAGAACTTTAAATTTAGTGTAAACAGAAAAAATATATAATACAATTTATTTCACGGTATTGCAACAAATAAACGTTGAATCAATATTTAATTCGTATAAAAACAATTATTTAACGTAATAATTTTACCTTCACTATGGCTATTTTTAATCTACGACCACAGGTCAACCTGATTTCTAATCCTTACGAACTTTAAATTCAGTCTAAACTGAGAAAATATATAATACAATTTATTTCACGGTATTGCAACAAACAAACGTTGAATAGATTCTTAATTCGTATAGAAACATTTATTTAAAATAATAATTTCACCTTCACTATGGCTATTTTAAATTTACGACCAAGGGTCAACCTGATTTTTAATCCTCCGAACTTGATTTCACAACGAGAAAGTAATAAGATCGTTGAAACGTACTTATTTGTCAAAGAAACTTGCAAAAATGTATAAATAATAATATGTAATGTTTTAACAAATTTTTGGAAGTATAAATTAATAATAAAATTGTGAAAATTAATAAATTATACGTTATTATAACATTAATAGAATTATGACTAAACCGAAGTTCGAAGTCGAGTATTTAAAGTCTGATATTACGTGCCTAGCGAGTGCCGGTAATTGTTAAAATTTGTTTAATAATTAGTAATAGAAATTCTAATTGATTCTAATGTATACAAGTGTTACAAGAAGGCTGAGTGTGTACAGGGTGGACATAGACTAGCTAGTAGCCCCCGACCACTCTATTCACATCTCAGAACCTTCAGGTCAAAATACGCCGCGAAGTGTCTAGGGCCCAGTATAAAGGGTAAATGATTTCGCGGGACATCGGCGGGTCCTTATATACCTTCGGTACCCTCTCCCCAAAGTCATTAGCAAAATCGTCGGTTAGGTCAGGCGGGAAATTTTCGCGGGAGATTTTCGCGGGAGATTTCCGTTATCGTAACACGGTATAATTTATCAATTTTCACAATTTTATTAAAAATTTATACTTCCGACAATTTGTTATAACATTGCATATAACAATTTATACGTTTTTACAATATTCTTCAATGGAAAC